TTGTGATTCTTAATTGCACGACTAATCGGGATGAAATGATTTAATATCGGGAGTGCACTCCAGGCTATTACGATTTAATTAGTATTGTATGAAGGGCAATCGAGTCGAACGAGGCATCTGAAAAATCCTTCGCGATTTTCCATCTCCCCCGAGCTCGGGCATCCTAATTATTTTCGCGAGCGGATCGTTTCGACAGTGATTTCGTTTATAATCGTCAAATTAATGTTTTAATCGTTAACCAACGGGGAAATGATGCAACGGGGGGAAGGGGGGGGGGAAGCAATTATCAAATTACGTGCCTGCGAGATTTCGGGCTAAGTGCACGAATCCGGTGGGTAGCAGGAATCTTATAATGCGCATTTCCGGTGTGTCGCCGGGGACCCTGCTCCTGAAACTGCCGATACAGGAAGGAAGGAGAGAGGGGGAGGGAGGAGGGATAATATTATGAGTTCAATCCCCCGTTAACGAAAATAATTCTGGCAACTTTGTCTCGCGGCTTACTCTCACGACTTTCTCACGATCGTTCCGTTCCCTCGAGGGGAAACGTGTAGGAAAGGATTGCAATTGACTGCATTTACGCAAATTTGTGTCGCTCGCTATTTAATCGTCTTGTAAAAATACGAGGACTACGAAATTCAAGATCGTCATTGTTTGCCAGAATGTATTTTTCATTATTAAATCGTTTGCATTAGAAAAAAAAGTGAAACTAAACTTTACAGATAATGCGACAAACTCGAGTCGGTTGATTCATTTCCGGTGAAAATAAGCTTTTCATGCGGGAAAATGGAGGACGGTTGTTATTCGAAGTTATACGTAAATTTACGTAAGGAATCTATATTGCGCGCGATATGGGGCTTTAAAATTCGCAGTAAACATGCGGGCTGCGAGGATAAAATGAGAATGCGTATTTATACAGATACGTATCGTTTAAATAAATAGATAGCACTTGGCTCGGCTAACGATCGTCCCCGCCTGACAATTGGACCGAATAATTCGTATAACGTGATGACCGAGTTTGGAAATTGCGTAAGACCGTCGTGACATATAAGCAAATCGTAAAACGGTAAGATAAGTGCGGGCGGATAGATGAGCTGCCATTGAAACAAGATGACCGTGCAATTCCGCTGTGTAAAATAAGACAATAAAAGGATGAATCGACGACGGAACGCTGAACATTGAACATTTGTCATCTGTGCTGAATTTGCAGTGAAAATTTACATAACTATCTCGCGTGTTCCCGTCTGACTCAGCGAAAGAACTCTCGTCTCTTTTTCTGCATTATCCGATATCGAGACGCTTAGGTAGATGGCTAGATTTTTCTGACAAAAGTCGGAGTAGCTATGAATTTTGTTGAATAGACGGAAACTATTGATGAATCGAGATCGCCTGGTTTTTTGTCAAGAAATCGATTAATTTCCCGATGTTTTTGAATTCATTGAATCAAACGATATCTATTTTTGCGTTCGATAGCAAACGAATTTGTTTATCCCAGTCCTTATACAATTCTTTTTTTTTTATTCTAGTTTATCGCATCTAAGACCGTACGTATTCGATCAAACTTTGACGTTAATTGATGATAAAAAAAACATCAACATTTTATTAACGAGAATTGTTAATTGCTTATTTAGTTTGACACAGTAGTGAAAGGAGAGATTAAATTAAAAACGACGAGCTGTACAGTTAGAAATATCGCTGTAAACACCGATGAATTAATCATAGATTAAATGAATTAATCATCGATTAAATGAATCAAACATCGATCGAAGCCACCTAAACTTTGTTCAATATTAATCGCCTATAAAGACCTAGACAACAACTCTACGAAGAACTAAAGAGCAACCACGAATTAACAGATTATCATTCATGTTTTCGCGATTTCTCCGCATTTGTTTGAACCGCGAGTATTGACGTTGCGCGCATGCAGAATTCCGCGATTGGTGGCCATCTATCGTGCGCCGGTTCAACCTCGACGAAGCCGGCGAGCGTGCCCCTTGCCCCTAGCGAGTAATCTACGCCTAAATACTACGCATGAGGCCGGAGATTAACATGGAGCGTAACTTGCGTAGCGTAACCTGCGTATCACCAAATACAGGGTCATTCTGATAGAACCGTTTCAATAATTCCGTTGAAATAGTTCTGTTATTGGTGATACGCAGTTTACGCTTACGCAAGTTACGCTCCATGTGAATCCAGCCTGACGCATCTCGGCTGTGTATTTCCACGAGGTGTTCGATGGTTCTCGAAACACAACGCGCCGAATCGCGCGTACCCGTTAGGGCGGTGCGTGAGTTGTCGCTTACCGCAGAGAAACGTAAAAACGAGCCGAATGTGCGTAGAGGATGCAATGCGAACCGATCCCTGAGAGTTGCCGTGTCACACTGGCCAGTCACGGCGTCACGCTCAGCGGCCCTTGGCGCGCATGCGCGCGTCAGCCCGCAGAGACCTGGACGCCAGTGGCGGACCGAGACACTTTGAGGCCTGCGTCAGCTGACTGCGCGCTGGTGATTGAGAATTGCCGGTTGCAGATCAGAATTGAGGCAATCGAAACGAAACGGGTTGCAATTGAACTTGCCCGATTGAACCGTAATTCTGACCTTCAGGCCGCAAGTGCCAGTCTTTAATGCGTGGTCTGAATGTGGGCGTCTCGACTCTCATTCGAATTCCTCAACCTTATCGGCTAATTCGTAGTTAATCGACGTGGGTGGAATTATTAATGTTTTACTTAATATACATGAGAAAAGTGAAAAATGGTAATTTTACAGGAGAACGATTTTAAACTCTTTCAACTGTTCCAGGCGCATATTATATTAATTAACGATTTCATGCACCTAAATAATTAATGTAGCAATTATAGTTCCTCTCGAATCAGGAGCTTTGATCATTTGTACTTAATCATTTTAGTCCGACCGTGTTTATTACTTGGAAAAAAGAAATTAGGAGTCGCGGGTGAGAAATAAATGCGACTAGAAAACCAGCTGCAAATGATTGCGATCTAATTAATGACCAAGTTAACGTCCAATTAAGTTAGTCTGAGTTGGAATCATCCTCGGACGCGGTGTGAATTTCATAATTTAAACAAGTTCACGAACGTCTGTGTAAACGTTTTACATCTCGCGATAATATCACTGTTAATTATCGCGAGATTGTCGCGATAATTAAAAGTAAATTCTGTGATGAATCTTGGAGCTGAAGCAAAAATATCGTAGATTCGTTATTGCGTAAGAAAACTGAGCTTTCCGAAAGAAGCTTTTATAAGACGAAGGGAGGAGAATATGCTTTGTGTATGATATAATTCTACCTCGAGTTTGCTTCTTATCGTATTTGATAAAGATGACAAATCTTTGTAGTATCGTACGTGAAACCAATTTGAAGTAAGAAAATAGTTGTACAAACTGCGCAATTGCTCTACGACACTCTCGAAAATGATTCATCGAGTAATGTGATTTAACACCGTGTATATATAAGAGGACGAATGACGTTTAAATCTTTCATTACATTGGTTTTCAGTACATTGGTACCGTGGAAGGTGTTCAGACACGAATTGAATCAGGTTCATCAAATTAGCTCGGGACTACAAGCGATGGCACTGAAATCCACGATAGATTTGACGTGCAACGATTATATTTCCAACTTCGAATTCGACGTATTCACAAGGTAAGCACCAATTTATAGCCAGCTGATTAACTTTATCGAGATTCCGAATCAATCTTGTACATACGCTTGGATATACTCACGTTGTTGTGCGACTTTGAAGGCTGTTTCAACCGTGGTCGACCCTCCTGCGCAATTGGAAAATTCTGGCTGTGACGCATCCCGGCTACGTGGCTTTCCTCACGTACGACGAGGTGAAGGCCCGTCTGCAAAAATATTGCATTACTAAGCCTGGGAGCTACGTATTTCGGTTAAGTTGTACGAGGCTGGGACAATGGGCAATCGGTTACGTCACGTCTGACGGTGATATCCTACAAACTATACCACACAACAAGAGTCTATGCCAGGCGTTGCTGGACGGCTACCGGGAAGGCTTGTGAGTATACCGTTAAATCTCGCCGGCCAAGTTATGCCGCTCACCTGTCCAGGCTCACGTCCATAAAGATTTCACGAATACATATTCGAAGATCGATTTGCAGCTACTTATACCCGGACGGTCGAAATATAAATCCAGACTTGACGTCGGCCGTGCAACCGACGCCGGAGGAGCATATCAAAGTGACGGCGGAACAGTACGAATTATACTGCGAGATGGGTAGCACATTCCAGTTGTGTAAGATCTGCGCCGAGCATGACAAGGACGTAAGGATAGAACCCTGCGGCCACCTTCTCTGTACTCCATGCCTTACAGCTTGGCAGGTAGTAGTATATAATCTCTTGTCAGCGTAATACTCTATTGACTTCACGGGGCGATCGATAAGTGTGTTTCTGTAATAATTCAGTTTGACTCGGCTTTACACCTTGATATGTCTTACGACCCACTGCGAGAAAAATGTCCCTCGCTGCTGCATTACAATAATCTTCCACGAAGACACGTACATGCGTTAACGTTGTGCCCGATTGCATTGCAGGATTCCGAAGGACAGGGTTGTCCGTTTTGCCGAGCTGAGATTAAAGGCACCGAGCAGATCGTCGTAGATCCGTTCGACCCGCGAAGAACCCACAAACCTGGGGCGCATTCGGCGTCCGCTAGCAACGCATCGACCCCCACGCGGGATCTCGACCCCGACACCGAGGTATCCGACTAGGAATAGCATCCACCTTCATTATTAAATGTGTTCTATGTATAACAACATCCCTCCCCCGCCCTCGCAGAGAGTATGCCTCATTCTCGAGAATGCCTCATACATTTCACACGAGATCTCGCGGTTTATCCCACGGTCGTGTACACGTGTCACGTCATTTCGTACGTCCATCGTCACGACTGTATGCCGTACCTCGTGGCAGGTACGCGGTAGTAATTTTAGGCATGTAACATATCAGTGAAGCTACTTGCACTCAATCTACTTCCGGGACCAAGAGGGGACCAAATTGCAAAGATGTGGCTATGTGGTTCTTACAATTCCGTTGTCTTTTCCCCGTTTTTTTATACATATATGTTTTTGCAAGATTACCGGACGAGCCGACGGAGCGATCGCCTCGATCGGTCAGCCTTGTCTATCGCGTATTTTTCGCAACTAACACGTTTCGAGATCGTTTATATCGCATAATTACAAATTTCATCAATTACGCGGGGGGCTCTCAGGTAAGACTCGCTTTTCTTGCACCTCATTGGAAGCTGTAAGCCGGCGGCTTAGTGTATGGCCCATTTTCGCTGTCATTTACGACTGTGCATACGCAATCATAGCTTCCGAACGATTCTATCTATAACATACGATGAGAGATTCGATAAGGAATCAGCAGGATTTATACATACGCGCGCTTATATAATGCGTTAATCTACCAGCGGAGAGAAATGTAGACAGTGTCGTTTCGCATCCACAACCACAAAGTGGGATCATTACATTTACTTACGTCGCAAAACTTCTTCGGTTCATTCAAAACTCATGATGCATGTGCATATTTTAAAAGCGCTCTTTTTGTTAAGTATGTGCATATAGATGATTTGGATGCTCGTGACAAATCTTTGTGTACATTATTTACATATGGTTTATAAATTACATATAGCTTGTATCTAAATCAATATATACAAAGCATTGAAAAAAAAATACACAGAGAAACGGATTCCGCGAACAAAAATTTTGCATAATTTAAAGCATAGTGTAATTAATAGAACTGTCGTCAACGGTTAAACATCAACACTACAATCTACTTTGAATCGTACACTAAATCTCGTTGTTACTTAACAAGATCTATTGAAACGTTATCTTTTCTACACATCTTCCAGTCCTACGATAACGAATAACTATTTTATCGAGAACGAAACAGCCCTGTGATTCATATATCGAAATTAAAAAGTAAAAGGTGTGTAATGTTAAGCCTTTAAATATAGCTTTAAGCGTTCACGATATGGGACAAGAGAAAAAAAAGTAATATGCGATGATCGAGCAAAGTAGTGTGCACTGAACAAGCGGACTCGTTCACCATCGATATACCATCCCGTTAGAACGTATTGTGTACCTGCTGGCGATAGGCACGAATGTATTGTCATGTTAACGTCATCATTACTATAGAAACGGTTCGTTTCTAGCGTTATTATATATTATTTTCTTACGTTAAAATATTAATTTATTATTTATTCCACATACGCTGTACCGAAAGGAAAGAAACAGAAAAGATAGAAAATGACGTTTGGACGACATTACCAGTCGTCACGCACTAAATCAAATGCTGTGGTATTACACATACGTTTTTTAATGCAAGACACTTGTAAAGTTTTTGTAAACGCATATAATGCATGCAACTGAGCCCAATTGCGGTGCAAGCAAGGAATTCTGTAGCACAATTATCGGCGGATTGGTCGATTTAGACCTCGTTAAGCTTTACCCGGCTATTTCAGATCGTACTACGATCACGTAGAGCGCGTTCGCGCTTTAGTTATTAGCGATTCGATGAAGGGCGCTCGCTGCTAATTGCGGAGCCTTCCTGTATGTGCGCCGCGTAAGATCGGACCAATTCTCATAAAACGTAACTTTAGCGTAACGATCGCCGAGTAGCGTACTATTGTAAAATACTAGGGACTTGAGAATAATTTTTTTTTTATAATAAAATTGTATTGCCATTTACTTCGAGTTACTTCTGCACTCCGTGTATGCGCCACGCAACATCCCTTACGCTAGATTTCTCTAGTCTCGTTATCGGGCGATCCGGTTGCTCCTTCAGCAATCGGGGAGAACCTCCCCCCCCCCCCTGGAACGACGACTTTATTATATATCGTTCGCATGATCGTTTACTTTTATTTCATAATGTTATCCACACACTGGGGTCACATTGCTCTACTACCCGCTGCATGATCCAAACTAATCGGTAATGTACATGTCCGACCGGGAGGAAGTCGCACAGCGGTCGCGCGCAGTCACAGGTAAGTGATAACATGCATTATGACCGTCTGCTTCTACCGCTTTGTAATTACGCTCATATTTTTCGATCGTGACGTTTACTCCCATTCGATTCACGACGATTTGCATCGAGCGGAAGAGGAGATTGACGACACTCGATTCAGCGCTTCCGCTTCATTCGCGATGAAGAACTTTTCCTCCCGCGCGACTGCACGCTATAGGGAAAAAAGCCACTTGTCGTTGAAGTACCAGATAATTTTTCTTGCAATCTAGTTTGTCTCGATGCTCACTCGAGACCATCGATTGTCGCGTCGAATGTCGCGCAACAGCGTAAAAGATCTTTGTTTGTATCTTCGTAGACCATCGCAGCAGTGCTTGTACATCTCTCTCTTTTTTGCAAGCGGATTAGTTTCCTTGTAAAAACAAAATCGACGATTCGAACGCCAGCATTTTGTAAAAGTTCAAAGTAAAAGTAGTTGACCGACCGCTACGGCTTCGAGGCAGCAGACGATTCATCGCTTTATTCGCTTCGAGGAATCCTTCAGGAAGATTTAGCCACAGGAAGTCACCTCGCGGAGAATAATCGCACGTGTTCCCTCCATTGGACGTAAAAGAGGTGGTATAATTGTCATTTCTCGCGAAATCTCCGTACGACCATAATCATCATGCTTGTTCTTTCACAATTTTCTGTATAATGTACCTTCTCGTTTAGAGTGAAATACCTAATCCAATTGCTGGAAGAGTTAAAGCTTCGTATACAAGACAATTTAAGATTGACAATAGAGAATAATGTCGCAACGGGGAAAGAGGATTTAAAAATCATTTGTACATGGAGGTAACTTATAAGCATTCGGCAACCTAGGTTCGAGACGTTTGTACATTTTTTCCCCTTTTTACTCTTGATACGAAAGTCAATTCATCTTACCGGCAATCTTACCCTATTTTGTGATATGTAAGACGAAGCATGTGACTTTCTGATTATTTGTATTGATAGTGGAATGATCTAAATTCTATTACCTTTGATAACTTCATTCAGAAGTACTTGTAAGATAACATTATTATTAATCATATATAGACAACTTTAAATCATTCCATTTATAATGGAGGTAATTAGGATTGTCAAATTACTTAATTCAACTTTTATATAAACGTAAGTACTGTCTCAGTCGTATAACGGAATTCAGCGTTAACCGGTTTCTTTTTCTTATTACCAATGTTTTAGGATATAATGGAGCTGTGCAACGGTAACTGCGGTCTCATATGCGACGACTCGGATGAGGAGGATGATTCTAGTCCCACGAATTCGCCGGTGCCGACGCGAAGAATTGTCCCGAGTCCACCCTTGCCACCTAGAAGACCCTCGCCATCGCCAACACCGAACAATCACCTCAGGAACGGACGTCACCTGACAGTACCGAAGGAAAATGCTCCGCCGCCGCCCTCATCGGTCACAGTGATATTGAATTATACTGACAACACTCAGCAAAACAACAAAGGTACGCAGAATAGTTTCTAATGTTCCGTCGTGCGTGTCGCTTAAAAGCAATATTGGAAGTACGTACGAATAAGCGAGATATTCATCTGAAATAGTATTGTGATACAATTCCATTTTACTAAAGCAAAGTACTTGTCAGTTTCTAAACTAACAAACGCAAGCTTTGCTAAACGATCGCTTCAATTTGTAACAATTCAAGGCTGATATTACGCCGTGGTATTTTTTTTTTAGAAAGTAATAACGTAAGCTACTTTATGTGGCAATATGTTGTGGTTTTTGAGAATTATACGTGGAGAGAAGTTTTTCTTAAAATTTATCCTGAAAATCATGTAATCGTGGGACAATATTTTCAAGAGAAAATTCTCTCCGTATACAAGTAGAGATTACGTACAAATCGCGACGACGCGCACAGACGCACGGGAGTGCGTCCGATGTTCGGAAGGCAAGGTAAAAATGTTGAGTACTTACAGTTAACACAGAGGCGAGATACGACATGCTGCACCGCGCGTCCTCGCCGTCGACGGTGCCGCCGATTCCGCCCGTGCCACCGACGGCGGTGGTGAGAGTCCATCCACGCCGGTCCCACGGAAATCACGCGGGGGGCACACCGCAGCGACAACCGCAGCCACCGCCGACGTTGCCGGAGAAGACGTGTCGCACAGCCACCGCGACCAGCTCGACGACGGGTCAAACCGGGGGTCCGAGTAACAACGTGCCACCGGTACCGCCGCCCTTGTCAGCGCCACGACCGCCGAAGACCAGCAAGGATGGTGGCACCCGTCAGGATCACCATTACGAGAACACGATCGTGATCTGCGGCACGAGTCAGCACGTCGTGAAGAACATCAACTTGGAGGCGAACAGGGCGCGTCTCACGGCACTGATGAGAGCGAGGGACGATTCGGGTGGTGTCGGTGGCGGCGGCGGTGCGATGACCAAGCCAGAGTCGGCGGCGTACGAGAACGTCAACGTCGAGCACATCACGAGGCTGACGGCGCTCGGCTTCGCGCAGGACGCCGTCATCAGGGCGCTCGGCATCACCAGGAACGATCTCGAGATGGCGCGTGACATATTGCACGAGTTCGCCACGAAATCCTCCTGACCAGGTACAAATAAGCGGCGTCAATCGCAACGAATGTCTTGGCGAATACGAAGCGCTACTGAACGGCATGCGTTCAAGCAGTGAAGAGCGAATCTCCGAGAGGTACTCTTTCCTTTCGGCTCCTCGAGTACTTCGGTTTATGCCGAGTAGCGACCACTTCACTTGGATGTGACGAGTATAGCCCGAATAGATATTAACTTGTATCTGTGTCGTCCCTCGCGCTTCGTGTATCACGTCATCTAAAATATCAGATTGAGATTATTACTATGATCGAAAAATGACTGTAACTTTAAAGATGATTGATTTAATCGCAGGGCCGAACACTGAGGTCTCATGACCGGCCTTACCTGCTAGACGGTACTTTTGACAGGGAACACGCGCGAACTCCTGCAAATCCCACCTCTGATGCGTTCACAGACACGCCGCGCGTTCTCGCCGAGCGTCTCATCACGCTAGTGCGGTATCGGCGGCGTTCCGTTTTACGCCTGCACGCGAAGAGTGAGCGTTGAAAGAGTCACCGTGGGGGGACTCGTCGAGGAGAAATTCCAACGGAGGGTCTGTGAAGCATCCTCGAGAACGTCGAGCATCATGCACGTTTCATGGATCCTTCCTCGTCGCGTACCGACTTTTCTTTCGGGCGGCCTTCAACGAGGCTCCAGACGCTCTCGTTTTTTCGGGAAAGACTGTTCGCATCGCGGCGCGCAAGCGGCAGATGTAAATAGAGGCGACGACCGACCAAAGACAACTTGCGGCTGCCGAAATGTTCTTCACGAACCACACATGTAGCACAAGCAGACTAGCGTGTCCCGTACTTCCTTATAGTAATCTCTCTCTACTGGGCGTAGTTACTATTTCGTTCCTCGATATACTTAAGGTGAAGATTAATTGTACATTTGCGCAAAGAGATTTCGCTTGCACGCACGTACGTACGTATGTACGTACGTCGGAAAGCGCTCCTCGAAAGTCTTCGGTCGTTCGTTTTCCACATTTTGTATTATATAGCGTATCTCACGACACAACGAACGCGCGGTCTGATGTCGCGTTGTTCCGGGATCGAAAACGCGTTTAGAAATTACACGTTTCAATCGAAGGCAATACAATGTTCTATCCGTTTGACCGACGTAACGAGCATATACATCCATTTAAGATATCCTACATAGAGAGCATCGGTTCGCTAGATACTTCGCTATATAAATGTATAATGATAGTACTGACCGAAAGTACGTTAGACGAAAAATGCCTGGCATCTAATTTTGTAATCCCGTTCCCTCATCAAATTAAAGTAGTTACATATATGTATATGTATATATGTATATATATGTATACACATATGTATGTATGTATATCGCTATTTAATGTATATTATGTATAAATGTCCTCCACACACGTTAGCGCTGCGTGAGTCACACGCACGCCAGATACTTCGGTGAGAATGAAAAGCGGCGAAATAACGATTCAGGTGTATAAAATTGTTAATCCGCATTCGCGATTTCTGATCCCAGCTGAGAGAACTACGTCGAGACACGATAGAGAGTAACGCGCACAGGATTTGGCACTCCCTAGATCCGAAATCTACGCCGGAGCTTTTCGTTCTTCGACTCGCATACACGAGCTTACACAAATTACGCGTACGACACTTACTCGGCTTCTCACCGCGCACGAGTATCGACGTAGGAGGAGACGAGAACAAAGGGGGGGTCGGAATCGTAATTTCGAACGCGGAAAGGCGACGTGCCGAATATCAAAAGTTCACAGCTCTCTGACGACCTCGAGACGAAAACCGCACCCGCGCGCAACTCGATCGGGGAAGTTACAGATATACTATAAGATCGTATACATATACGGATTATAATGGAGAATACTCGAAAACGAGAACAAGTGTTCAGGTACGACGGTAATGAGGCATACTTGGCGATGATTTGCTGCACGGTCGCGCCGAGTCGAGAATAACGCCGTATCGAGATACCAAGAGTATCGCTTTACATTTAATTTACGCCTTGCGGTAGATGCTCAAACATAGCGCATAATCGTTTCGTCCTGCGAAAGGGGCAGATCTGAACAGCGAGATGAGATACCGAACGATAGTGGGATCCTGCCGCCGCGACTTTGCCGAGCTTGCAAAAGCGATCATTCGTCGTGACGACAGGGAGGCGCTTGTGAATCAATTCCTGGAACGACGATGCAAACGTCCCGCGTGTGTTTCGCACGACGGTTGCACGACGAAAAGTTATAATTACTACCTCGCGATTATACCAAAGGTATACGATGTGATCGTCCGATGTACGAAGAACGTTATCAGGTGTGTCGCTCGTTAAAACGTGTTTAATGATTCTTTGAACGCGTTTCGCATACACACACACACACACACACACCCACCCATCCACCCACCCACACACACACACACAAACACACAAACACAGGCGAACCATCGTGTAGTGTAATTAATATATATTTAGATACCATATTCATGCTACTATTGAATTTCTTTCTTATCGCGGAGACGCGCGTCTTGTCGAAGCGTCCCGCTGTTACGAATAAAAAGCGGGAACAGTTCATCCTGCAGACTCGAGTGACAACCGTAGCGTTTCAAGAGAATCGCCAGTATCGAAATTCACCGTGCGATCCCGTCGATATTGAGAACCGATGCACCCAATAATTTTATTCGCTTCTTATTGTGCACCCTAATCGCGCCAGTCGCAGTATCGTTCTACCCCTGAGAAGAATTTTCAGCCTTCATGTTCGGATTCGACGTCCGCACGGGTGCATTCGGTGAAATTAGGTGTCCTATTTTTCTACATTGTATATTCTCGTCGTTGTGTACTGTATAATGTACCGCGCGCGGGTGAGAAGCGCTCGAGGTACGTCGATGCCTCGGAAAACGGTGAATGAAGGTTCCAGACACTTTCGCGCTTCTCGTCGCGCGTTAACGTCTGATGATCTGACGCAAATACGCGGAGTAGAACGTTAATCGACACGAGACGCAATCGAAGATAATACATAACGAACATAGATTGACTCCTTCGTTTTAATTATTCGCTGTAAAAATTGTTTTACATACTTCTCGAAATAAAATAACATGTCGTTTATAACATCGCGCGTTGTTTCATTACGAGATTGTACCTTTTTACAGCCAAACCACTCGTTACGTATTCTACTCGTGCGTATACAATGTGTTCTATGAAACTTAAAAACTTTGGCACACAATTTTTAACGCAGCGCAAGTCTATCGTCGCAGAGAATTAATTTGATCCATTATTTCCCATTTAAAATATCAAATCTGTAGTCGACAGAGAAACCCTGAAAAAACTAGAAATATATTTTGTACTATACCTTATAAACGATTCCGGAATTACGACGATGATAATTCTACTCGCATTCTGTTATATCTTTCTATCTCTTCGTCGGTAACTGACGGTATCAAGTCGCGAATTGCATCTGAAAAATGGCGTAATTCCACAATAACATTGTCCTTAATTACACCTTCCTCTTCGACGTGGAGATCCTTGTTGGTTTCCTCGGTTTCCTGATGCTTCGCGAGCACCTCGCGCACGGCGTTGAGCCACGCGTTGGAAGAGACCGAGTACAAGTCCGCGCCGGTGACATTGTTGGGCAATCGATCCACGACCTGTTCCAATTCCCGTCCGCTTTCTCGCAACTCGAATTTACGTGTTTGCGCCTGCAGGACGCTGAGCTTGGACGTGCGGTCCGAGTGAATACCGACGTAGAGCATCTTGTCGAATCGTCCCGGTCGGAGTAGCGCGGGATCTATGAGATCGGGCCTATTCGTAGCTCCTATGATGAATATACTGCCGGACTCCTCGAGGCCATCCATCTCTGCGAGTAATTGGGAAACCACGCGGTCCATCACGCCGCCGCTGTCTCCGCTTCTGCCTCGATTGGGCGCCAGCGAGTCCAGTTCGTCGAAGAAGACGATGCAAGGGGCCGCGGAACGCGCGCGCTCGAAAACTATGGGACGATGAAAGGTAGCCACTTGTTATTTTGCAATTCAACTAAAGCCAATAATTCTTTGTTGCAGATTTTTACCAGTCTTGTCATACTCATTCTAAGGAACATACTTTGCCTCACGTTCTTCTCGCTCTGACCGACGTACATGTTTAGGACCTCGGGGCCTTTGATCGACAAAAAGTGCATCTGATACTCGGTCGCCACTGCTTTAGCGAGAAGAGTCTTCCCAGTGCCGGGCGGGCCGTATAATAGTAGTCCAGATTTTCCAAAACCGAAAGCGTTCAATAGAGGTAGCTGAATTCTGCGAATAATCTCGTGCTTCAATTCCGCCAAACCGCCTATATCCTCCCAGTGAACTTCCGGCACGCGTGGCGCGCCTTTACTGTCGGAGTACACGGACTGCATGTATTCTGAAAATATTTCTGTTATACTGTTCCCACGCAAAAACCAAATGTTGTTACTTGCAATTTTAGATCAAATTTTGATTATATGAAGAAAAGATATTATTAAACGTCATTTAAGAAGAGTTTAGAATTTAGAGGTACAATTTTTTAAGTCGTTTAAAGAAATAAGTGGACATTTTTAAGCCCTTTTTATCTTACTAAAATCTCTTAATAGCATAATATTCTGACATAATATAATGGGAAACAATGTAAATGTAATATTGCCAACATTGATCCAATATTGTAAGATACTTCCTCTTATTTAGCCAATATGTCTAATATTGTATTAATGTTAGGAAAATATTAGACCAATACTCATATTGGTCTAATATTGCTAAATAATGGCTAATGCACTTCTAATATAAATGTAACATTGTATAATTATTATCGTGCAATTTGTATTAATTTTCTACGACCAATATTGGCTTTACGTTCGAAAATATTGGTCAATGCATTTCCAATAACCAATGTTTAGTCAATGCACTGTGCTACTGGGTCAATTGTAAGATAATTATACCGTAAGCCCGATCGAAATCTTCTTGTTCCAATGGAAGCGTGCATTTCTGATCGCGCGACGTTGATCTGCACCGGAATTTAGCTGCGTGCAGTGACAACGCTAATAGATCCACGAATGTAAAATCCGAGCAAAGACCAGCTACTTTCGACAGATCTGCGGTAGTCGTCAGATTCCTGTTGGACAGCAGCCAAGATATTAGTTCTGCTCGTTTGCTCTGATTTAAATGTTTCACGTAAATCGTCTCGATAAATATCCGTTGCAGTTCCGCGGGTAGATCGGTCTCGTCCGACGCGGCTACGATAATCAGGGGAAATTTCCGGCGTCTGTTGTACAACGCGGCGATTTCTGCCGAGAAGGTGGAGATGACCCTCTCGTCCTTTTGGCCCTCGGCAGTCTTGCCGAATACCTGCGAAAGCGCCCGTTTCACTCATGAGATCAAAAACGTAAAACATGATTCGACGAAAAATTATCGCCTTCAACGTACTTGAACGTTATTTAAATACAATGTACATGGCACGCATTGTTGCGCATTTTGCAGCATTATGCGAAGCTTAGCTTCGGTCTGCACCGACGTTAAAGTCTGCACTTCCGCGAAGTCAACGGCGAGGAAGTGCAATCCCATTCTCTTGGACGCTGCCCGAGCTAACTCGTGCTTACCGCAACCCCGTGGTCCTTTCACGAGAAACACTGGCCTCACATTCAATCGGACGTCTGCAAGAACAACGATAAAAAGATAAGGACAACGATTAGATTGCTCGATTAAAATAAAAATTGACGATTGTATTACTCGAACATTATTAATCTCCGTAAGTGGCAAAGATTAATTGTAATTTAGGGCCTGAGCAAAATGACTGTCTTGTATTCTTAAGACACAAGACAGTTGTTTTGCATGACTTTAAGACAGATTTAAAACATAAAACATTGTCTTAAGAGTACAAAGCGGCCATTCTGCTCAGGTCCTTACCATTTTTTAAAAACGGCGCGATGCAAGATTCTAAATGTTCCAAGGGTTCCGTTAAGGCCGACGGATATCTGTGATCAGGCGATCTTCGCGCCACTCCGTTTCGCCGTAAAAGTGCGCTATCGGGAAGCGAGCAAGCGCGTTCCCGAGGAATATAATCGTGAACCTGCGCCTCCTGAATGAGCGTTGACTCTCCGCGCACAACGTAGCAACTGTTGACGCTACTGCTGCGCCCGTCGCGATTCACTTTCAACGCTCTAACTGTAAAATACATCGCGGAGATCCCCGAGGAACCCGATGAATAAAATTGATCCTCGGCATGTTCCTTCGCGTCGATCCTGAACGTGTCGTTCACGTGCAGAAATCGGGGATGTAGGAAGTAATTTTGCAGCATGACGTCCAGCGTGTCGGTCGCGCACTCGAACGGATTGGCGATTAAGGATATCCTCGCCTCGCTCGCAAACTCGACCGCGTCGTCCTCCAACGGTACTGAAAGCAAATCGCGCAAATTATTATTATGCAAAACTATCATGCATAGTACGTTTATTTCAAACTATCACTTCAATTATTAATATATTATATTCACAGAATTATAAATGTTATCTTTTCACGGATTTTTATCGAGTTTGGTAGCGAGATGTGTTAGAAGACAATTTAAAATTTAAATTGGAAATCCGGTAAGCTTTGTGTATATTCACAGAATCAAATATTATCTTTCCGCTCATTTTTATTAAGTTTGGCAGCGCCAAAGATGTGCTAAAAGTCGCGGGCAATTTAAAATTTAAATTGGAAGTCTTGTAAGCTGCATATTCACAGAATGATAAATGTATCTTTTAACGCATTGCTATTAAATTTAGTAGCGCCAAAGATATGTCGGATGATGCGGACAATTTAAAATTTAAATTCGAAATCTGAAAAGACATATACGTGTTATTCAGAGAATTGCAAATGTTATTTTTCCGCGCATTTTGATCAAGCTTGGTAGCGCCAAAGATATGTTGGTGGATGTGAAATTTAAATTGGAAATTCGACAAGCCGCGGACACTCACGTATGAAACACGAGCCGTCCAATTGTTCGCAGCGAAGGGCGTTTCGCAGATTGCGCTCCGTCGTTTCGGAAATCAAGACAGTGTTCTCAGCGATATCCGACACGGATACAATCGTTAATTTATATTTCGTCATTGACGCCATCGAGCATACGTTGAACCAGGCGGAATTCGGCGGTTTCCCCAAAAGCCCTTGTACGTTCGCCACCGCGCAAGAGTCACAATCGACGTATTCGTTACACGTGACTTCCGGATCGTCCAGTATACGTCTCAAAGCCGTGTCCGGCAACGTGGTCCACTCGAGATCTTGCCTGGACAACCCTTGGAATCTACGGTGCAGATACTCCAGGAAAACGCAGCTCAGCACGTAGTGCGGATTCTTTCGCATCGCAGTGCTCGCAATTCCCCTCACGATCCTCTTATGACGCAATAACGTAGAGAGCATCCTCTCGCGTGTCTTATACATGATTGATACTCGGAAATTCTCCGTTTAAACCACGTAGACTCACGTCGCCCCGTGAAGCCTTCGATAAACGCATCGGACCTGAGATTGGAAAACAGAATTCAAAAATGCACAGACTTACGAATGCTCTTTTTTCCACATAATTATATATTGATGTTAAAAAAGTAAAAAGTGCACACGTAATATTTCCATTGTTTTCTGAATTAAAAATACAGAACTATAAATGTTCTTTTTTCACGCAATTATGATATGTTGATGTTAAAAATCTAAAAGTGCACGTATGTTATTTCCACCGTTTTCTAAATTGTGGCTACGCCCGTAAAGTTTTCCAAGAATGTCTTCGTTATCTCGGTCCTCTCAGTATCAAAGTCACTTGGTAGATTCGTCATCAAACTAGGACAGTCCCCTTGCCGTAAAAATCCCTCTGAAATCCCTCCCTCCCGCTTTTGTCTCCCTTCTCGAAAGCTTTTTATTCTCTCGAGTACATTAGTACAAAAAGAATATTGCCGTAGTCTCCGTAGTGACAATTTTCAACGAATGCAACAATTTGAATTTTGAATACAACGCGAGATATCGTTCGACAAGACGCCAACTTCGCGGTAGTCGTGCGAACAAAGTGAGCGTTTCGAGCTACCATCCTGTACAATCGCCTCCTCTTTCAATCCACAATTATTAACGCAGAAATATAGCGCACATTTTCCCTTGCGAAAGTTACGTTGCGCAAGCGCGCGGCATTGTAGAGATACTCCTCTTTTTCCTCTCCCTATTCACCCCTCCTGCCGTTACAGATCATTCAAAATGGCGATCTTTCAAAAACCCACCCGCCCCGCTCGCCGAATCCGCCATGTAACGATCGGAGCGGTATTGGAGGTTACGTTTAAACGCGATTAAGAGAGACAGAGACAGCGAGAGAGAGCCGAGAGCAGAAGTCGAAATCGATAGACCGAAACGGCAAAAGAGATTCCCGTCGGGTCGAGTGTTACAAGTGGAGAAACGACGGCGTCCCTTGAACGTCTCCGCGGACAAACGATCGCGAAAACCGCGGTTTCGCGCGCCGCGCAACGCGCGAGACCGAGATCGCGTCATCGCACACGGGTCGGCGGCCCCGCGCGCGTCGCTCGCGGTTGAGAGTCACTGACGTACCCAATTTCGGCACGATCTCTAACCGAGTTACTATAGGAACAGTAGCGCGCAGGAGACCTGTCCTCGGAGGATCATCATGCGAGGCTGCCCCCGCGGAGGCGGACGGCGGTGCTATCGGTAAATCTCTCCCGCGTCCTCCCGTGCACGGCGACTGCGGCCGACTTCGCGCCGTCCGTGCGGCAGCGCACACGTCGATCGTGGCTCGATCCGCGGATCGAGACTCCGCCACTTGCCGGCGCGAGGCGACGCGACGCGGGGCAACGCGAGGCGAGGCGCGGCGCGGCGAGGCAGTGAGGCGGGACGAGGAGAGGTGCGTGACGAGACGGGGCATCGAGAGTGTACCTATTGTAACCGAGGACAGTTAAAACCGTTGGTGGCGGTCCCCCCCCCTTCCCTCCCCGCCGTCGTTGGAGCCGTTAAAGCGCTAACCTAACCTAATCCGATAGCGTCCTTATTGGAGATTTTCGGGGCAGAGTTTCGTTTCACGAATTTAAAGGTCCGGCCACGGAACCGCGGGGGACTGTTATGCCAGAGCTGCGGTAAGCGAGGGGTGTGCACGCCGTTCCCCGCCCGGGTCCAGCGCGCGGGCCGATTCCCGCGCCGTTCTGTTGTGCTTAACCCGCCTACGTCGACGTCGGCCGTCGGTGTCGACGAGTGTCAGACTGCGCTCGTGCGAGCCTCGGGATCGGTGCCGCGGGCCGATCGTCGCCTCGGTAATCTCGGCGAGGAGGCGGTAATCGCCGCGCGTCGCGCCCCCTCCCCCCCGCCCCGTCCCCCTCCTCCGCGTATTCGTTCATCCCCGGTGTTCCGTTTGACAGTTTTAAAGTGGAGGATGTTTACATTTTCTTACGCGCACAGCCGTACGATCAATTGGTATTCCGCCGAATGTTCTCTGGTACTGTTGGCGTTAATTGTGGAACCTTTTGTTTTGTCAGTGTATAAGGAAGTCTCTGAGCGATAAAGGCAAGACGGAGTCCGATATGGATCCCGCGACGATGATTGCGCTCTGCAAGGAGAACATTCAGCCGTTGAGGTACGGGCGGAGTGCCACTCAACTGGGAACCGCATTGAGGGCGCAGGAGGACGTGGATGCGCAGCAGCTGTTGCTGCAGGAGAAGCAGTGAGTGTCCTCCGAGATGCGGATCCAATAGACACCTGAGCGTAGCGGGTTCTACCTAAATTAACGTACCCCACAAATTAGAAATGTCTTGTAAAGCCTTGCTACAAATTGTTTGTATGTTTTTACCTAGAATGTACGAGGATGCGATTAAGAATTACGAGGGAGATGATCCTTTGGAGAACTGGTACGAGTACATTCTCTGGGTGGAACAGAGTTACCCGAAGAGTGGGCACGAATCTCACATTGGGAGGCTCTTGCAGCAGTGCTTGGCGATATTTGAAAAGGACCTGAAATATCATCAAGATCGTAGATACATACGTTTGTGGATTAATTATGTGAGTCGTGTGCTGTGCAAGCACAGTTGGATGTTCATGTGTTCTAATAAAACTTGGTTTTCAGATAAGTATACAAAAGAATCCTTTGGAGCTGTATCAGTTGTTGCACAGCAGTGGTATCGGGACTAGAGTAGCGGACATGTACAGGGCTTGGGCCTTCGAGTTGGAGCAAATTGAAGATGATAAACGGGCGGATGAAGTTTACTTAATGGGACTATCTGTTCATGCGGAACCGTACGAAGAATTGAGCCACGCTCACCAGTACGAATTGCTGCTTTTTGTAAAATATAAAATATGTTAAAGTCAATTAATTCGTGATAATACTTACGATGTTTTTTCACAGAAATTTTCAATTTGCTGTGGCGCGCAAGACGCTTGGACGTATCGAGGAAAGAAATGACGTGTCCTTGTACGAACAACGTCAGGCTTTTAGTTCGCTGCGGGCGATCAGAGCCGGTAAAAGAGTCGGCAGCATGCGGACAGGTCATCGCGTACGCGATTATTATCCTGGGACTGTGCCCCAAGTGTCAGCTTCCATGCAGAATACAAAGCCCAATTCTAAAATACAAGTATATCAAGTAAGATGCCTGCATAAATAACAGCACTGTAGTGCGATATACTTGATTGTGTTTTTTTTAAGTAAGTTGTAATGAAATGTTAACTTTTAATTTAGGATGACATACCTGGAGAAATGAAGGGATCGAGCATATTGGATCATGTACCGATAGAGGATATGGTACATAAAGAAAATACCATCAAGCCTGGACCCTGGAACAGTGGAAGCAAGAGAGGCCCATTAATAGCTCCTAGTGTAAAAGCGGGCTTTAAGAGTAAGAATAATGATTTTAAAAAAACGTCAATTTAAAGCGGCAAATTATTACGGAAAAACATCCAAGAGGCTTCTTTATTGTCTTTCAGTTCACGAAGATCAGAACGATGACAGTGACATGGAGAAAATTAAGTTGTTCCCAAATCATATACCTTTTTTTGACGGCAGTAAATCTAATGATTGTCTAAGAGTGCCGGTATACGTAGCAGATCCAATAGATCCAAATATTGTACAAAAGCCACATTATCCCAAAGAGTTAGTTTACGCCGATAATGCCGATCGTAGTATGGAAGAAATTAGAGCACAGCTTTATTTGGAAAGGTACTGCGCTTTTGTTAAGATATGAGAAAATTATTTGGTGTATATCCTGTAAAATTATTATTTATATAGTATAGAATCAATTATTGCATATAATAATTATACAATACGATATTTTGCAGAAGAGCGCAATTTCTGGAAAATAAACATGAAATGTCAATGGTTTGTGTACGTGAATCCGCTGGAGAATCCCAATCTCAGCTTAATAATTATGAAAACATGTATCACCTGCAAGAAATTGAAGAGCAGAAACAAAGAAGAGATGCCGAGATCAGTAGGCAGAGACTCCAAGTTGAGCAACAGGAATTGCAAAGGCATCAGTACGAGATCGAGAGTCAGGTTTTAGAGACTCAACGGCAGGAAGCTGAGCAAAGAGAATTGGAAAGATTAGAGACCGAGAGACTTGAGGCGCAGCGAATTGAAGCCGAAAGACTCGAAGCGCAGCGTATCGAAGCCGAAAGACTCGAAGCGCAGCGCATCGAAGCCGAAAGGCTCGAAGCGCAGCGTATCGAAGCCGAAAGACACGAAGCTCAGCGAATTGAAGCCGAAAGACTCGAAGCGCAGCGAATGGAAGCGGAATTGAATACACAACGGAAATTACAGTCGACAAACTTTATGCATCAGCATCACACTTCGTCTTTGGCCGTTGACACTGAGGAACATCTGCTCGGGCAAAGCCTCACTGTAAACACAAAGGAAGCTATTTCGGTTGTGCAAGGTTTGTGGCAATCCCCAGATGTGGCCACTAACGCCTCGCGCTTTCGTAGTCCTCCCGTCGCACCTAGAATGGTAGATTCGAGAAATAAATTGTCATTTGATATACACATGGATAGCTCTATGACTCAACATGTTATGTCCAGTAACAAACATCATCAAGGATACAATGTACAGATTTATAACGATCAAGAGAATCATCAGAATTATCATACGCAGCATCAAAGTTATTCTGGTCAGGATCAACATATTGCATACGGAAATCACAGTTTGCAAAACAGTTATCATTATCAGATGCAGGTAAAGAATTTAAAATATTTATATATTTGAAATTCTTTATATTAATTACTTTGTTTTTATATCAAATATATTGTGTACATAAATACTTCTACAGTTTTCGTTTTTTTTTGTATGTACATTTAGATTTAACGAGAGTCTAAAGTAATAAGAGTATAAAATATAAATGTTCCCCCGTTTAAAGAGAATCTAAAGTAATGTGAATTTTTTTAATTACAGCAACATCATGATCATCAAGTGCAACAGCCGCATCCTCGGCAGCACCATCCCCAACATCAGCATCATCACCAGCAATTGATTCCATCGCATCAGCAAATGCATGCTGTGCATCATCAGTCTCTTTCTCATCCGCAGCATTTGCAATCACCTCAAATGCCGCATCATCAACCGCACCTTCATCATCACCAATCTCCGCACAATCCTCATCATCAATCTCCGCACAATCATCATCAATCACCACACAATCATCACCAGTCGCCACACAATCATCATCAAACGCCACTCAACCATCATCAGTCGCCACACAACCATCATCAACCGCCACATAATCATCATCAGTCGCCGCACAATCAACATCACCAGTCCCCGCACAATCAACATATTCTACATTCTCAGCAACCGCAACATGTGCATCAACATATGCAACATATGCAGCACCCCATCTACAGTGACTTGATACCCAACAATATCAGCTATCAACAATATCCGGAAGCTCCTATGCTACACCCGAATCTAGAGCCGCAGAAGCAGTTACATTTCACTCCTTATACTGATTCTGACATTGAACCGATCAAGCCGTACAGAATGCCACCCGAATTACCCTATATTAAATCACCCGGGATGAATCGTAAAGATATTAAATATCTCGAAAGTGCGGAGGACAAAGAGAACGCTATCGTTGTGGATGGCCCGTTAGAAGAAAACATGATGCCCAAACCGGACGAAAATAATCTTTATATTGATGAAAGCTTGGGCATAGCTCCTCTCTCGACTGCTAACGAGACGTGTTTTACAGAAGCCTTTAACGCGCCGTTAACGAGCTCCACGCCAATGACTAATCACTTTAAGCCATCGTACAGAATAAAAGACGACTCACAATTTTCAAGTCAAAATGCTGTGTCCCAACCGTATGTATTAATCTACATTTAGCTTTTTGCAAGCACTTACATGAAACATTTAAATTAAGTTTTATTTATGTTGAACAGAGTTGCAGAGGCACATAATGCTGAAGGCAATGATAAATTAAGTGTGATATTGGAAACCACACGAGAATATGTCTCGAGTAGTTCAGGGAGCGGTAATTATACCAAATCGACTGGATTAACTTTTGCATTAACGAGGGAGGATATGATTCCTTTTAAAGAACAACCTGTAGATACAAGTATGTAAACTAATTTTGTTACTAACGAGTATAATTTATTTTTTGTTTCTTCCTGTGTATACTTAAGATATAATTTCTGAAAATGTAGTTGTTTATTTGAATTATTTAATTATGCAATGTCGTAAAGTTGTAGAAGAAGAGTCAAATGAATCTCTGCTGTCCGTGACTCAACCTTACGAACAGAAGCAGTATGCGCAAATCCAAGCTGTGCACGCTCAAAGTCCGCGTACAGTACAACGACATGTTGATCAAATCACATCCGAGATAAAGAATAATTGTGATCTAAGAAAATCCATCAACTTGAAACTTAACGAAGAGGACAATTCAGAGAAAGTTGACAGTATGGAGTGCGAGGAGCATGAACCTATGGAACAAGTGGAGGAAGAGTGTTTCGAGCTCCCATCGAGAGATATAAATCCATTCGATAAGACCTTAATAGCTGGCCTATTGAAGAATATAAAGTTTCCACAATCCCATCATGCAGATGGATATAAAAGAATAGATACCAATTTAAATAAGCTCGTGCCTTCTACCATGATTACGCTCGGTTAGTGTTCAATTTACACGGATTCAGATATAATGTATTGTTATACGAAATACCTTTATTTTTTGTATTAACGCATTAATGCAATATTGTAATACGTTTACGCTTGTGCAGATACTGAAGCATATGATTTGGAAAAGTGCCTTGGAAAAGGAATGTATGGAACAGTTTTTAAAGCAGTCAATCTGCAAACGGGCGAGACTGTTGCCCTTAAAACGCAAAGACCTGCTTGGGTTTGGGAGTATTATATCGTACGAGAGATAAAAGCACGTCTTACAAATCCACATATGGTACAGTATAATACAAATACAGTATAATGTATCTCTTATCTTATTCGTGTAATTTGATCAATCAATTCCATAATATGCTAATATCTTGTTTCAGTTACGTGGCTTTATGGATGTCACAACGGCATATGTGGCCAACAATGGAAGTATACTAGTTTCAGAATATTCGAAGTTTGGAACGTTATTAGCAGTGACGAATCAGATAAAAATTGCCACTGGCAAGCCTCTGATGGAAACTTTAACTATTTTCTTTACAATCGAGATGCTTCAGATTGTGGAGTACTTACATAAATGCCAAATAATACATGGAGACATAAAGCCAGATAATTTTTTATTGATGCGACCGTTAGTACTGACCTTTTTCTAGTAATTTTTTTCTATTGGATAAATGAATAATCGTAAGAATAGAGATTGGCTTAATGAATTTCTAAATAATCGATGACTGCATCCTGTTTATCGTAGATTGTTGTCTAATCTCTATAATCTCTCACAGACCTACGCAAGATGTAAGACCAACCATACAGCTGATAGATTTTGGATGTAGCATAGATATGAAATTGTTACCAGAAAATACAACATTTACGCAAGTTATAAAAACTGAAGATTTCACTTGTATCGAGATGCAAACTGGAAGACCGTGGACATATCAGACTGATTTGTATTGTCTAGCGGCGACCAGTCATTGTTTACTGTTTGGCAATTACATGAGAGTATCTAACATAGGCGGTCGTTGGTTTATTGCCTCGAAATTACCTAGGTAATACAAATAATGAGCATATACATTAACCCAAAAGAGTAATTTTTGTTTCGTATAAGAAATTGTAATGCTGCTCATCCTTTTGTGCTACAGGTACGCTAAAAGAGCTGCTTGGGAACAATTTTTCACGGAGCTTTTAAATATCGAGTCATGCGAGAAAATGCCCGATCTGGCGAAATTGAGGAACGTGATGGAGGAGACACTGGCGCAAATGCCAGAGGTGCAAACGAAATTTCGGTCTTTCGTCAACATTCTCAACAAACGATAACGCTTGCTGTATCTGACGATATGTCCCAATGTGTGCATATATTTAGCAAAGAACCAACGTGTAATAAGAAACATTAATGTTATTGTGCTATTTATTATAAAAAAGTTAATACTACAGTGAGATAAATATATGTATCTACACAGTTATGACATAGGAGAATGCACTTTATGGCCTGGTTCGTGGAGGCTTTACCAATATTCGTTGCTTGCACATAATCAACATTAATTAGGACCACTGTGCAACGAGTCTAACCCCTCCAAATTGTTTCAGAAACTTACGATTACGGGATATGCGAAGATTTTTACGGTAGAGACTTTGGAAATGTACTTGTTATCTCTCGAACACGTATGCGCTCGTTACAAGTTACGAAGCAATGTACTATGATGATAAAAAAAAAACCAGTCTTACAAAAATTCAAATCTGTAAAAATGAATAGTACAATAAGCGTGTGATACAGTATGGATTCAATTTGCAAGACGGCATGCAGACGTGTATGCGTACTGAGTACTTGAGTACCTTGTATAAATAATTAATGTATATGTAATCATTGTATATTTAAAATAGATTTCGGCTCTATGCCATTCGTTTCTGTTGTCAACGGGTTCGTCTTGCTTTCTGATATTCTTGGCAATGTACGAAAATATATACCATGTCGATGATATTAATTGATTCTTTCGAATATTCCCAAATACCATTACTTGTATACAGAGCAGTGAGATAATTTTATTGCAAAACGGCAGAGCACACAACGTATTATATAAGCGACGCAGTTTTAATTTGGATATGTGCAGGCTTACTTTTGGGTGTCCACTAAACAGGCCTTTTATGTAGTATACATTTAAGTTAAGACTTCCTAAATGTATGCGTACGTGTATGACACAATTGAAATGTCAAGGTTGCGTTTCGATCTTAGATTTTATAATGATACGCAAGAACTTTTGGTTGTCTTTGAAAGCTAAATAATAAAATATAAATTGTATATACATACACACATCGGGACCAGTGTGTGTATGTGCGTGTGTGCATGTGTGTGTGTATATATTAAAAAAAATTTGTAATCGACAACCTATCGTTCTTGTTTAAAAATTTATGAGAATATGCCTTATCTTATTTTAACGGTTAACGTAAAGAAAAAGGATGTTCAGATAAGAGCCCGTACAAAGCTTTAAGATTAAAAACAGTTGAGACATTGTAAGATACATTTATTAAAATCGATAACACCAAAATGTATATGTATATTCCGATTCACCTTTGAAATTGCATACATTATACGTGTAAAGTCACATTACATTACGACATTAAATCTATCTGCAACCTTAAAACCTTACGTTTTAACTTCATACATGTGGATTTGTCAAATATCATGGAATTTCCAGTATCGCATATATATCTGTTACTGTTATTCAATTTTATCAATATGATATTCTGTTTCATTAAAAATTCAGTATTAATTTGGAGCAAGTATGAAAAAAATTTCATTATCGTTGTGTAATATTTATCATATAATTAAAATTGCTTAGAAAACAGCAAAATTTTTTACTATCTTATATTTTACTCCAAAACTGGATTTTTCAATGAAATTATTCGATATGAAACAGGTTTGAAGTTAACGATCCTCCCGTGGAGTCTTTAATGGTGACATTAGCAGAGTGTGGTTGCTGTGTATCTACATATATTTATATCAGAAATCAATCGGATTGAGTACATCTACATCAAGTGAACAGCAGCCGGGTAGAGCAGAAATTTGATGGACGCAGCCGATGATCCTACATTAAGATTAATGCTAAACCGTTGTAACAGGGATGAAATTCACAACAGAAAGGAACGAATGCTCGCTCGTATCTTTGTAAATTGGATACTTTAGCGATACTTGTTTACACGCTTTATTTAGAGCGCATCAAACGTAAGAAAACACATTCGCATTAGCCACGCTTTCTCATACTTCCTTCTATATACTCGGATATGCTTTATTTTAGTCGCTGACGTTTTAAATAACGCGGAGATAGAAAGCACCTTTTTCCATTTCCCGCTTATAAATGAGAGCTGCGAGCATATGACGGCTGTGACAGACTTTTAATGACACGAGCTGAATAATCGATATCGTTGACGAAATGGTCTGTAATTTACCAGACATCTCTAAATGCGTTTCCTGTGCTTCACGGACGGAAGACTTGAGAATCCTCGAAGAACCTTGATGCACCACCATAATCGAGTATCGTTGAGTAAATCCAGCGTAGGCTAAAGGTAATATTGATTCGCACTTGCAATCCATATTTATTTATTCTACTAATTTTGTTCAATGCCATCACAAGTTGAGAAATTGAATAGTTAGAAATATACAACATATAACATTAAATATAAGACACAAAGACATTTATCTTTCGATAATTATATCGTAAATAAAACAAGACATACAGATTGTTAAAATCAATAAATATTTCCTTATAGACAGACTTTTTAGTTAAAAATTATAAAATAATAAATCTTTATATCTGAAGATCATATAAATTATTCAATTAGTTTATTCGATATCAAACGCATCAATAATTCCTGTAATATAGCAAAGAAAGAAGAGCAGTAATTGCTAATATATCACTTTAACAACAATTTTAACATGGAAAATAACGAGAAATATATTATTGAGTGATCCGAGTATTTCCAGAATTATCTAATAAAATGAATAAATGTTTAATATAAGCGATTTCTTCTTCAATATAGGTGACTCCTTATAAGTACATTTGTCTGCAAGTTGCAAATTTATATTTTCACATAAATAATAGATTACACTGTAAAATGTCTATGTATACACGAATGCTGAGTGTGGTAATGCAAAGTTAGAGCCTGGATCAAGTCAATTTTTTTATATTCGACTTTTGATTTTACAGTTATCACTTATAGTCTTATTTTTTTATAGCACAATTATGATGCTTAATACAGTTTTGCTCATCTCACATACTCCTAAAACAAAAACGCAACTTAAATTGCGCTACATGATGTATCCTAGGATCAGAGACAATGAGTAATGTGCACATATATATTTTCCAATTGAAGAGAGAAATATGCCCAAAACATACATACAAAATACATCACAAGCTGTCAATTGTAGCTCTGACCGTATAGAATAGTCGCTAGATTATACTAAATCAAAATATATTGAATGTAATTTCCTGAAGCCAATGTACATGTGTTATTTTAATCATTACAGTGTACAAGCGTAAAAGAGATATACAATATTGACACATTCTTTGGTATAACAATTAGAGATATAAGCTCACAATTTAAGATATTACAAATAACATTTGATTACAATAGTGCTCAGAGAAGCCAATTTGTACTAATTAGATATATATATATATATACTTATAAATGCGTCATAATTTCATCGAGAAATATCAATGTTAATGTATAATTTCTTTTCCTTGCCAGCTGACGAGTTTTTCAATAAGTATAATAACGTGCACTATTAAAGCCTATCCTTAATTCATCATGTATTTAAATACCTTATGTCTCAAGCCTCTGTAAATTCTGAAATATTCATAATTACTCTTGCGAAATAAGGACAGGAATATTCGTTAAAATGGAATTATTTTTGGATCTTAATAAAGTACAGGTAATATTATCACTGCCATATTTGTATTGATATCCTTATCTATGGTCTACAACTTAAACATATAATGTTCTTGCGTTATGTATTAGATATTAGGGAACCTCGGTTATCATAATATAAATTGTAAAAATGTATTTTTTGATTTGTTTATAGCACTAATAATGTCTTCATCTTCAAAAAAGGCCATAAATAATGATACCAATAGCCAACAAATATGCAACAAGAGATCTTTTGGTAATTATTGTATAGAATATAAATCTGGTTAAATATAGGCCTTCTCATGGCATTGATTAATATATGTTTTATATAATCATCATCTTATACATCAATACATACATATATATAATGTAGTTTTTTTAAGTAATAGGTGTAAATCACGTCAAATTAATTGAACTGGTACATCAGCGTCCATGAGCCACTATCGATAGAATGGAATTTTGATCATTAGTGCACATTACATTACAGTACACAATACATATGAAACAAATATAAAACATTAACTCGAAGTGCCTGCTCCTCTCCCGCTTTATCTCCTGATTAATAACCTTACTTAATACAATTATTTTACGACGTGCTGGGAGACAAGCCTTTAGCTAGATTTTACAATGTAAGTAAAGTTAAATTATGTTATTCATACTTTAAATAAAAAGTAAATAAAACGTAAAAGATTGTACATAAAACTTAATGGAATCTCATAGATATCAGTTTAAAATAATATCCCATATTATGCATAGAAAGTAAAACTATATTACGTGATGTGCAAGAACGAAAATGGTTATATATATATATTTATATATATAATGATTATATAAATAATAATTGCATAGAATGTCCGTTGCTTTAGAATTAAATCCGCCAGAAATATGTTAAAGAGTGATACAACTTCATTCATATCTTTACGAGAATTTGTAAATAAAGACTTTATTAATGCTTCATGATTTTAGTGATGTATAACATTTTCGTCTTACAATAATCCTATGTATTACGTGTATAAGATTATTTTAACTAATAAATACACCAATTGTCACTTGTTACCTCATGACGCGACATGCGCAAAATTAAGTTGTACAAAGTAAATGTGTTTCAGATTAAAATGAAGAGCAGGAGTAAGGTCAATTCAGATCGGAGAAGGATGAAGCGGTGGACAAGTAAGCCCCAGCCCCTAGCAGCACCCACCACCTTGCGCGCTACCTTGTCCACCAGTTCCTGCTAAACCTCCCGGACTTGTTGGCGAATGCTGTGGTCCAATCTTAATACCGTTTGCCTGTGTAATTCAATTATTATATTGGTTTACAAACATCCTACAACAAAGTATACACATTCACATATGTTTTACAATATAACGATCTCTCTTTCTTGCAGCAAAGATGGTTCCAGAAAATAATGCAGATATAAAAGTGTAAAAGGAAACGAGATACACACGTAACTATATATTGTCACTATTTATCCATTACTTATTATCTTCTTTCGCGTTGATACGAGACGAATGAAGAAATATCGACTTTTATATAATACTTTATGAGATTATATAGATATAAAATGTTTTCTTAATTCTCTCATTATTAAACATTTAATAAATAAAAATGTCAGAAAAAAGTAATGATAAAAAAGTTGTGGGAAGACTTTGTTCTTCCTACTTGCATGTAAAACATCACGCAGATTAATTAGGATTAGCGTCATACCTCATTATTAATGTCAAAGACTCCTTCCTGTATTTTTTCGTATATTTCTTTTGCCGTATTGATGAACGCTTCTTCTACATTGGCGGCAGTCTTAGCACTGGTCTCCATGAAGACAAGACCGTGCTCCCGTGCAAAGGCCTCGCCCTCTTCTCTCCTCACTTCTCTTCGGCTATCCAGATCACTTTTGTTGCCGATTAACATGATGACCATATTGGAATTCGAGTGCTGCCTCGCGTCCTCCAGCCATGTTGTAAGATGATTAAAAGTTTCCCTACGTGTAATGTCGTATACCAATAGAGCTCCGGCCGCTCCACGGTAATACGACCTTGTTATAGAACGGAATGCCTCTTGGCCTGCCTATAACGTGTAAGTCAAGAGAACGATTAGCAATCCATTCCTCCTAGTCGAAGAAAATTAAATAGAGAAAACAAGGGATGTACACAATTTTACTTGTATCTTAGGCGAACGTTAAAGTGAAAAAGCGTAATTTCCTATAAAGGCTGGTCTACAATACATGGAGTAAGCTGGAGTAAGGAGTAGGAGTAAGGAAATAAATCCATTTTATTTCTTACTCCTACTCCTTACTCCAGCTTACTCCAGCTTACTCCATGTATTGTAGACCAGCCTTAAGAACGACTAAAAGTACATCTTTAGATAATTCGAAACTGTTGTAAATTAAGTCGCAATCTTACTAATAAATATCAGCAATACGGAAACATAGTTTTAACCGAGGATAATAGATTAATTAAATAATTACAGTGTCCCATATCTGCAGTTTAATTTGCTTGCTATCGATGGTAATCATACGAGCGCCAAACTCGACTCCTATTGTCAAGTCATGGACTGGCTGAAATCTTTTATCCGTAAACTGAAGAAGAAGACAGGACTTTCCAACTCCTGTGCAGAAATAAAATCACCACGTTTATCACAATGTACGTGTAACAAAAAGGCCTGTTGTGTGTTCGATTGAACGCAAAATCTCCCAGCGCGCATTATCTCGCGTTAGTGCCCACGAGTTCTCGTAACAATACATGCTCGCGAGATATCGCGCTTATATAATTTTGTCACATCCACCGTTTAACATGGTACAATCCCCATTCGCAATAATTTAACGATTTTACTAGGGAGATGAGGTCGGGGCAATATTTTTATGTAAGTACGTAGGCAAGAAATGTGCGCGACATTTAATTGCAGCAGAATTAATTCCGTTACAAGACGCAGCGTGCTATTTATAGATCGACACGACAGTTGATGAAGCGGTACAGATCCGTCGATCGGCGTATAACAGCGATAAATCAAACGGCAATATGACACAGGGCAGGGAGATGCTCGAGCGCCGAATGTCGCGTTGGAATATACGCTGACAGGCGCGATTATATATTTAAAGGGAACAAATGCGCGTGGTAGGGACCTCCTCGCGTCGGGACGAGCCGATTTCGCCAAGGCGGATCCGTTCTCGGGCGTCTGCGAATCCGCGATATCGGTCGCGCGCCGCGGAAACGAAAACAATAGGCCCTGTCACGGACGACGTAGAAAGACAACACACACGTCGCGGGGGAGGCACACGGGGAGGTCCCAGTCCCGCGGCGGTGATCCGCGCGCGGCGCGTGTCACGTTATTTACCTGTGTCCCCGATAATGATATACTTGAAGAGGTACGCGTACGACATTTCGGCGATACGCGGGGCTGACGAGAGACGCGCGGACGATCCTTCCTAGGCTGGCGAGACGCACACACACGACCAGGAAACAGAGCTCCCTTCCTATGACCGACTCTTATCTCTTCTGCTCCAGCATGACGTCACGCAGACGCTTCGGCAGGCCTCGGATCGCCTCGCGGCCCCTTCGACTTTCCGATAACTCCGCCGTCGTCGTCGCGACACGTCGTCGCGACGCGGGCGCGACGTCGATCGCCGATTGGCCGGCGTCGGGCCGTCGGGCAGCGCCGCGGGCTCCGGCTCCACCGGCAGACGCGCGGTCGTTCGATGTTTTTCACACCGCTCGTTCCGATCTTGCACTTTTAGCATGATTCACGGTCGTTCTACTCCGATGCGGATTCCCTTCTTGTCCTTTCATCTTCTTTTCCAGTTTCAAGAATTTGAAAGAGTTAAAAGAAGTTGAAGTAGGATCAAAGTTCTGCATTGGTAGAAATGGACACGTACGAAAGTTTCGATCGGCGAGCGTTAGTCTGACGTTTCGAAATTCGAATTAGATTTTGTATTATATGCAGTCTACAAATATCAGTTTTTACCAGAGGACGCGAAATTACATGTCGCTTCTTGTCCGCGAACGTTTCGCGGAATGAGAGTTCATAAAAAACTGGAGTTGAGTAGAATCGATCATTCGGACAAAAGAAATTTTCCCATTGGACCATCGGCTGCGTCCCGATATTCGACGCATTGTTTAACAGGCCTTCATAATATTGGAGAAAGAATAATTCTTCAATTTTATCTCATAGCTCGTATTGGCTTCTGCCCACTGGACGCGGTAACGTTGCCGCGCGGAGAAACTTGACTAGGAAAACCAGCACTAGCCAATCCACATCCGAGACGTTGATTGGCTAGTGCTGGTTGCCCTAGCCAAGCTCCGCCGTGTCCAGAGGGCAGGAGCCAGTCCAGCGAACCTCGATCCCAGCGGAAGGGGGACCGAACGAAGCGTCCATCCAAGGAGAACCGCAAGCTGCTTCCAGTGATCCTGCTCGGCCGGGCATCCTCTGCCGTCTGCGGCGGAGCCGCCCGGGCGCCGCTCTTATATAGCCTAGCGTGTTGCAAGCGCCGACCAATCGCCGCTCGCCGCCGCCGCGCCACGGCATTGGCTGGAGGGCAGGTGGTGGGGAGCCGGGATATACACCCGGCGAGCAAGGGAGCGCCGACCAATCGGCGCTCGGCGCAAGCGGCGCGCCGCGGCATTGGCTGGAGGACTGGTGGTGGGGAGCCGGTGGTGGAGCCGGGGTATATAAGGAGCGAGCAAGTCGCGCGCGCGACCAGTGCTTCCAGGCGACGGACGGCGACGGATGGCAGCGGACTGCAGCGGTCGGCAGCGGAGGCCGTTGACGCGGATACGGCGGGCTTCGCACTCGGATTGGCTGAACGCCTCTGCTAACCTGGAGGCGTCCCCTCTCCACCGGTGACCGTGGATTCTTCTGGAAGCACAGCGTGCATCGCTATTGAGACTTCGAGAGCGATCGCCAGTAGATAATGATGCGTCACGTCGCACGAAGAATGCAACCGGCAACCTTTCCAGAGATCCTTCCTCCAAAATCCCAAGGCGTCGATGACAGATGCTGACGTGAAGCTCTGCTAGGATCTTTGCTAAAAGCTGCTTGCAAAGAGACTTCCCGCTTATTTTTCCAACATTCCTGCTTTGAGATTTTCCTTTACAAGGTACGATTGAACTTCTGGCAGGCCGGAGTTTTGATAAAATTTAGCGTAGAGTCTGCGTCGTCCGACTTTCACTCGAGTGGATCGTTTCTCACGTCCGAGAGTTTTTGTAACCTCAACTACGTCCCGATGCATTATAGAACAAGCTTAGGCTGGTATTACATTTGTCGTACAAATTTTTCCAAGCGTGTGATTGGCCGCGGGATAGGAAAGTTCTCGAGTACCTAGAAATTGTTTAGCTTTTAGCCAACGCGCTTGAAAAACTTGTACGACAAACGTAAGGGTGGACTTACGCGATTTAATGTATCTAGAGTGATTTCACGAATTAACGGACAACGAACAGATTCGTAACTCGATAATTGTATCGATAATCGGGGCTCCTCCGGAGAAAGCCCGATCGCGTGCCCTCCGCCACTTTGATTTCGCTCTTCGACGGTTGGCAGCCGTGCGTGCCCGCCACTGGCTTTGCGCTCGCGCACGTTGCGTCGGTCGCGCGATTCGGAATCGTCGCAACAAGTACACGGCGTGCGGTGTAACGGACACTTTTCACGGGGCCGCCGCGTTTAGAAAGGGCCGCTCGGAATTCGCGTCGAGTGTCTCGGCGCCGCGTGTGTCGCCCGCGACGCGGCGTTGAAACGCGGCCGCGGCGTCAACCTCGTCGAAATTCGCCGCCCTTTCGCTGGACAGAGAGCGCGAGAGCGAGAGAGACAGAGAAGAGAGCGACCGACGACGCTGGACAGGTCGGGCAGAGGGTGATTCCGACGTAAAGGCACGCGATTCCGTGCCGTTGAGTTGAGGTAAGACGACGCGACTCGCGACCCGGGCGGGCGATCCTCGCGGCTCCGCCGCGAGATCGCCGCCTCGATCGGAAGCGGACATGCGGCTACACCGCGATCGGGAAATAACCTTAACGGAAGCGTTGCTTCATTTGACAAATCGCGGCCCCCGTCCGGCCGCGGCGAGCAGATCCAATCGCGTTCTCGGCCCCAAGGCCGAGTTTTTCTCGCTCCGAAGCCGCTTGTCAACATTGACACGGTCCGTGACATTATTACGTAGAAACCGTATTTCCAAACTAACCTTCCTCTCGCTGGACGCGCCTCGCGCGTGGCTCGCCCTACAGTACGTGCGCACGTAATCCTGGCATTTCCAGGTTGATAAAATTCGCGCACTGCCGAAATTTATTCGTGCAAAACGGCTCGCTTATTATTTCACGTATCATTGCTGGCGAGATTACTCGAGGGATTTTCATTAGAAAGAGGAAGTTAGAACGCACTTGGGATATGCGTCCCATGTTTTTGTATTTTGTAACGGAGATGCTGTTGTACTTTCTTCGCTAACTAACTTGTGACTAACGGCGTGTTTGCGCAACGATAACGTTCGCGAGCCACATATCTTTATATACCTTTGATAAAAGGAGCAATATCCTATGATCCACCTGTTATGTTAAGTCTTAAGTATCTAGGATGGAGTATACAAGTTTGTAATTTTTACGCGTCAAACGCTTTAAGAACATATACGATTCGAATTTAAATCTGGTTTTGTTCACACGCGGAAAGCACGTCCATTGCGTAAATAATCACTTTGCAATTCTGTTTCAGGATAGAGAGATGTATCGAGCGAGGTAACAAATCTGGAAGACAGGATCATGGCAAACAGAAGGGACAAGCCCGCTGGCTTTGTGAGTACAATAATGAAATTCTAACACGTGCATTTAAAAGGGTTACCGATCAAAATTTTAGAGGAAGGAATCAACTGCAACGCTGTAAGCTGGAAAGCTTAGAAGATAGTAGAGGAAAGTCCTCTAATATGAGATAGCAGGGTCTACTAAATTAATAAACGTCATTTAGTGGTTTTGTCATGAAATTTGTTTAATTGTAAATTCACTGTTGGGTCGCGCAATCGTTGCGAAAGAAGATTTGCAATTGAATTCAGACGTTGTAAACCTACTGTCTCATAATTGAAGCCTATCTCATAATAAGCAGGGTGTCCAGTGGTCAGGGAAATCTGAAAATGTCAGGGAAGAGTCAGGAAATTTTACGATTTATCTGGATTTCTTACATCGTTTCACATTTTTCTGAATAATTTAAAGTTTTTAGAAAGTAAACTTTTCTGTGGCTCTCAGTACACTAAGGTTTTCTGTTTTGCTAAACATCAATTTATTTATAAGCGTGGTCGGCAATTTATATTTTCATCGTCGTGTTATCTTATTTCAATGTGTTCAACTGAGACAAAACTATTAAAAAAAAAGATCAATTACTGAACAGTACTATCTAAATAAGTTACTATCTAGTAAGTTGCAAACAAAATGCAGTTAAGCAAAACGAAAGCATCATATTACGATCATCACAAATGGTCTGCATGGTTTGTAATGATACGTTCGTTCCTATTACACAATGTATTACATATAGATGATATAATTGCTTCAATTTAAATTTTTTACCTTTGTAAATTCCAAACTTGCTTCCCGAGAAACATATTTCAAGGACATCGTCATTTAGCATTTACTTGATTTACCATACAAAATTAATTCCGGCTCCTGAAAAACCTGAAAAAGTCAGGGAATTGTTTTCATTGAGTGTGCTGGACAGTGGACACCCTGAATAAGGGATACTTTCCTCTACCATAAATTAGTTATATAACTTTATATAAAATTTTATATAAAGTTATATAACTTTATATAAAAATATGTAACTTTCCTCTACCATAAATTAGTATTGTAAATTGAAATTGAACGGAGAGATACAGATTCCCTAAGAGGGAGCTGTCGCGTAGCGTAATTTAGATAGATTCGAATTTGTTTGCACAGCAGCTCGCCGCGGCAATATTTCATTCGGAGCATTTAACTCCGGGGTTGATCGTGACTCAAAATCGAAGGTAAATCGATGGAGAAACAATTCGGAAATTTAACCGCATCAAATTCCGTCTCGACGACGCGATTAAATTATTCCCGTTGCACGCGACGGCGTGCTCAGATCGTTCCACGAGGATTCCGTATACTTGATCGCCTCGTGTCATCGCCTCGAACTCGAATTGCAGTATTGGAATAGCTGTATTTGTACCTTCCCACTATTCTTATCTCTGCGCGTTTCGCAACGTCGGTATCAATGCTCTACCATTTGCCTACGTACGACAGTCGCGGTTTCAATACCGTCGAGGCACGAACACCTATTGACACTCGATTTTTTCCCGCGTTTCGCATTATCGCGGATATCGGTCCGTCGATTGCCATACGTCGTTTCTCGCGTCGATTTCGGGCCGCGGCAACACACGTTCCAGCACGTAAAACGAAGTGCGCGCGTCGATAACATTACAAACATAAGCCAGTCCCGAAAGATCGGCTTGGAGAAAAAAAAGTAAAAGAATGTCTGGCATCCAAAGAAGAAAGAGTTGGTATCAGAAGGCCGAGGCCGGCATCAAGGTAGGGACGGCTTTTTGGATCTCTACTCCTCTCTTTCGGGAACCAGTTTTCGATAAAACGAGAGAAGTTCGTAAACTATGTGCATTTTATTTTTCGCCCTCGGGAGAGCCGCGTAAAAATATCCGCGTAGACACGTAGATATTTGAATTCGAGAATAGGGAGATGAGTCATGTGCCTATCGTCGCGTCGTATCGCGACGATAAGATACTTTTCGTTATTTATTTCTAGATGACGGCTATTATTGAGAGAGAAAGGGAGGAAAAATGGGAAATGGCGCGCGTGAAACTTTTCACGTAACACTATAAAACCTGCAGCATAGGAATTCCGCGGCGATACCCGCCATACGTGGGCACCCGCCGAGTTTCCTGTTGTGTTATCGTATTTGTCGCCATTTGTAGCGTCGCGGTGAAAACGTTTCAAAGCACGGCCATTTACGCGAGCCGGCCTACTTTTAATCTTCACATCCATCCCCACAGCCGCTCTTATTTTCGCCCGAAACGTCCAGTGTTTCGCGCGCGTACGCGTCATTGTAATCTTTTCCCGTTGATAAGCGGACATTCTTGCTCGATTTAAAATCCGATAATTCGCCGCTATCGCGGAACCTATTACTCCGCTCGCAGCGTTTGTCAAATTTGCGCTCCGCGCGAGACGGAACACCTGCTCCCGCGTTATCTTTCGGAAAAGTTACGAGCTCGGAAAACGAGTTGCGCGCTCGCTCGTTGTCTAAATTGCACGTAATTAATTAGGAGCAATGTATTGCGTCATCGCTAAAATCGGTGCTCTGCGAATTTCACTCGCGCAAAACAATTGAGCGATACACGGGGAGAATTTTCCCTTAAAATTTATCCTAAAGATAATGTAATTGCGGGACAGCGTGGCATTTTGAAGAATTTTAGGAGTTTTCTTGAAATTTTATCTTACATTTTACTTAAAAATTTCAAAAAACTCATACAATTCTTCAAAATGTCACGTTGTCAGTAATTACATGATCTTTAGGATAAATTTTAAGCGAAAATTTTCTCCGTGTAGAAGGTTGGGAACCGCTGCTTCGTGGTTTAACGCAATCCTCGGTAAAGATAAACGATATACGTTCTCGATGACACGCACAACGCACGTCCGTTTGCGCGCAATATAGTCGACCTTAGATGCAGCACAAAATTCGAGCCGAGTTAGCTTGCAATTCACACATCGAGCCAGCGTGTAAAGACCGTCGTGCGTGAATTCGCGACTTCACGCCGCGATTAGGACTATTAATTTTATTGTTAACGTCGCTCTTAGAACTGGCCTTTGACAATGCGCTCTTTTCGCGCGCGTTTGGCTTCACGTTGAAAGCCGCTGGGTGCAAAAACCGGGTAACTGCACTTTTCGATACGTGGTAGTTACGCAGCGTTTAGTGCTCAGTGAATAGTGACAACGGTTGATGCAACAGTCGGACGTTTACAGCTTATACGGTGTGCGCGAAGCAAATTGCAAATTTTTCCGAACTAATTTTCGCCGCGCAAACCGCTGATAAAATTTTTCCACGTTCTCGATACAATTAACGCTTTCTACAAATTGAACCGCGTCGTGTCGCACGTCTCTAATTTTACGTAGCGACTCTCGTGAGCGACACGCGAGATACAGGGTGCTGAAAAAAAAAGAGGACAATTTTTTTTGAAGGGATATCGTCCAAAAACAAGTCAAAAAGTTTAATGGGTCCGCAACTAAATCGTTTTTAAAGTATTACAATTTTTTTACTCATTAAAATTTTTATTCTTATTATCTTTATTTTTTATTTTAAACGAGTCAACTCATTGCTATGATTATCGGGGTTGGTCATTGCTCAATGAAGAAGCATTTGCATACGGAGAGAATTTTCTTTGTAAATCATGTAATTCAGTTAAAAGTTAACAGGCGATAATGTAACTAAGTGTTAAGTTAAAATTATTTAACTTTTTAACTTAACTTTTAACTTTTTAACGAGACACTACACAACCCTGAAGTTATCATATTATTGCATATATTCAACACGGCTCCTTTACAGACCATTGTTTATTAAGATTTTTCGACTTGTTTTTGGGCAAATCCTTTTAAAATATTTTACCCTTTTGTTCAATACCGTGTATTTTACGGCGGTTGCCGCTGCACGGTGATTTCTATTCACCTTTTTTCCATTACAATTCGCGTGCTATTGAAATTCTTGTTGATGAAAAGGTCTTGTTTGACGAGGACACCACGTGAAAATAAAACCGGGATATCTAATTCTCTCTTTTTTTCTCTGATTACGCGTACACATACGCATGACTCCAGCTCCGCGCTTATCACACGGACGCAGGCACGCTTCGAGATCTGACGGCTGCACGAAAGCCTGATCTACAATGTACTTTTTCCGTCTAGAAACATTCTATTTTGTACAAGCAAATCGAAAAGTTTGGAAAATTTATCGACAACGCACGATCGCGCAATGCATAATTTATCAACGCGCACAAATACGTTAAACGTATCTATTGGCTACAAGACGGAATGTTTCTGCAGTGCAAAGAGCACATTGTACGTCAGGCTTCAGCGTTAAGCGTGCGTGGAAAAACAGATGCGGAGGTGCTAAACCGGTATGCGTCTGTCTCGCGGAGACAAAGGCGCACCTCTCGGCCGCCGGGGATCATCCCGGGCGCGTAGGTCGAAGAAGAAAAAAGAGAAAGAGAGAGAGAAAAAGGAAGAATATCGCGTTCGGCCTCCGTGTGCATGCCCGTAGGAATTTCGCGTGACACCGTTTCGGTCTCTCTCCCTCTCGCGCGGCAGAAGGCCGCGCGGATCGGTGGCGTCATCGCCCGATCGCCTCGCGCGAGTGTGAGATCACCCGCGGCCGCTCGCGTCTTTTCTTCCGGTGTTAATCGGGCGCGATTGAAACCGCCGATTAACGCCGTCGAACGTATTAACGCGCAAAGTAGTCCGTCGAGAGGGTCCCTCTTAGGGCCTGAGCAGAAAGACCGTCGTGACCGTTTACGACTCCGTCGTAAGACGTAAGTCGGTGTCAGAAGTCAAAGAATTGTCGCAGACGTGTGTCGCCTCGCGATGGATGCGATGGATGCGACATACGTCTACGATAATTCCTTGTGCGTTGACTTTCGCCAACGACTTCCGTCTTAAGGTACTATTAAAGCCTATGTCCACGATGCTAGGACTTGGTCCAAGTTCTAGTTTCGCTTTTACAGAGTAGCTGCAAGTTGATTGACTACACATTTCTCGGAACTAGAACCTGGACCAAGTTCTAGCGTCGTGGACACAGGCCGATTGGCTGCAAGCTAGAAAATCTCTAGCTATTCGGTAACTTTTCTATCCCGCGGGCAATCAACACACTTGAAAAACAACGAAAGGATGTGAATCGCCAGTAGTTAATTAACAGGAAAAAGAATTGTTAGACGACATCAGGCTGATAGATGGTTTATTTGTTTGATTCCGACGTTTCGACCATACGGGTTGATGGTCCTTTTCAAGGAATTTGATAATCTACAAGTTTGTTAGAGGACATTGCAACTTAAAAATGTATCGCTTACAACATGAAATCAATCGGATCACGAGCCAAGTGATATATATATATACATATATATATATTTCATGTTGTAAGCGATACATTTTTAAGTTGCAATGTCATCTAAAAAACTTGTAGATTATCAAATTCCTTGAAAAGGACCACAACCCGTATGGTCGAAACGTCGGAATCAAACAAATAAATCATCTGCCAGGCTAATGTCGTCTAAAAATTTCTTTTACACTTGAAAAATTCGGCGTACGATAATAAATGTAACACCAACCTTGCGACGGAAACGATTACGGCAGTCTTTCTGCCTAGGCCCTTTATCGCGCGCGCGACGTAAGCGCCGGTCATCAGCGGCTGCGCCGTTCGAACAGGTGGCCGTTTACGCCCGCATATATGGAGCGTTACGTAACGCGACGCCGAAATGCAGCGGCGGCAGCATTTTGAGCGTACCGAGACAAAATTTGCAAAACTCGCGCGGTTGCTACTCCTCTTAAAGTCGATCCGAGATCTTACATCTGAGATCAGTGTAAATGCGTTAACCAGAAATTAAATGGCCGAAAAGTAAAGAAGTTGACGTGGCAACGTGAGTTACCACCATGCCTCAAAGGGTTAACTTTGAGGGAGTAAGGTTCCTTCCTCTTTCTCTTTTTTTTTCACTCTTTCATTTCACCAAGCGTCACTTCGGTGTGCAACTCGGGGTTCTCTGTACGCCATTTACGACGGCGCCTGTCTTTCTCTCACGGCAATTACATTGTGATGCGTGCGCGTCCCATGTTTATCATAAGATACACGCCGCGTCTGTGTGTAACGCGATATAAACACCGCAGCGCGAAGCCGGATCTCTAATTATGCGAGAGTATACGTGGTTAGCCGATACTGTTGATCGGAGCGCTCGCTGTTCGGAGCATTCGTGGTGTAAACGCGCGGAAGACGGGGACGGTCCTTAACGCCAAGGCTCGCGGGATGAAAAAGGCAGCCTGGCTTTTTTTTTGTATCCAGCATTGCAGCCCATCTATGGAATACGCGTGTACGCGTCTGAGGACGTTTCTTGTCGAATCCGTGTCAAGTTTAGCGTGACCGAGCGTGATTACGGTCCACAGGGGAAATCGAGGAAACATGTATATCGATCGACGCGTTGAGAGACGGAAGTTATATGTCAATGTCGATAATAACCGCTGAACATCAATCCCTAAAATAAGCAGCTGGCACAGATTTCTCTAAATTGCCTGAAGTCATAGAGGTCTGTGTCCACGATGCTAGAATTGGGCGCAAGTTCTAGTTTCGGGAAACGTGTAGCCAATCGACTTGCGGCTATTCCATAAAAGCTGCAAGTTGATTGACTGCACATTTCTCGAAACTAGAACTTGGACCAATCGGGAACACCAGGCACTAACAAACACGAAGCGTTAAATCTACTTGAAACCAATAGAATGTTATCGCTGTAACTTTTACGTAGAGTGTATCCACGATCTGATGTAACTTT